GGGGGGGCTGGATTTTAAGAGACCACAGACCGCATCCCACTGTGCTGACCATTCTCCATCTGTCCCCACCCCAACCCAAGATTCATTCCTGCCTGCCCTTCTTTGGGCCCTGGGGGGTGGGGGGGGTCTTTGCTCTGTGTTCCTCTGGTGAAGCCTCAGCCCCTGCTCTCTCTGGGTTTCGTTTCCCCTCTGACCCCTGCAGGCCAAGAGAGGGCCAGAGGTTGGGTCTCTGGGTGCTCTACATCCCTGTGGGTCCCCTTAACTCTGCCTACACCCCCTGTATTAAAGTCCCTTCCCTTTCGGGGATCCCTGAGTGTCCTGCTGCGACCCTGCCTAACATACCCTCCTCAACTGGTTCCCTCGAAACTAAGAGGCAACGTGCTCTTCCTAGACAGTTGGCTGAGGTGCCAACGCCTGCCACGGAGTCCTCGTTCAGAGGCGTCTGGCCCTGGTGCTGGGCCCTGCCCGCAAGCCGCCTGCTGACCTGCAGTGGTGCCGCCGCACCATCCAGCTGAACTCCCGCTTGCAGTCAAAGCAGTAGTTCGCCTCCGTGTCCCCCAGCCACCTCTCCTCAGCACTGAGCTTCTGTTGGAATTCCAGGGCATCTGACTTCTGCCAGAGAGCGTCCTTGTCCCTGGGAAAAGCCGCATTAGAAAAACAGAAGAAAGAATCCATGAAAACAATAGAATTATCTCTGGTTCATTTCAAAAGACTGCTTCCGAATTTCCCAAAACACAAGGAGAATTCACTTTTACCTTGGAAATAACCCCCCAGTCTAGGTCTCCTCTGTCACCCCACACCAGTCCCAGACTCAGCAGGAGCCTCCCAACGTGTTAAGTCCTCATCTGACACCACACTGTGTGAAGGTACAGGGGGGTCTGCGATGTCCATAAAAGGCTCTGGCAACTGCAAAGACCTGCTGGCACTGACAAGAGCCACCAGCTGCTCAGATGTCTAAATGACAGTGCATGTGGCCACTGGGAGTTTAAGCTGTCACGTGCTGCCAGGATTACATGACCGTCTGTGTGCTGTGAGCCCAAGAACCCAAATCTTAAATGTGCGCTCGGGATCCTTCATGTTTTTTATGGTTTAAGTAACAATTAATGGAGGAGAGTCAAGCTTCTCCAGCCTGAAAATCCGATGCGATGTTGACCTTCTCCACCCCTTAGAGAGACAGCACAGCCACTACAGGAAGCAGCACAATGAAAAAAGTGGCAGGCTTTTCAGGAGGCTCTGGCAGCATCTGAATGTGCCTGATGCACCAGGGAAGATGTGTATAAAAGCTTTCCTTAAAACTGCTGTTAATTTTCGGGGCTATAGGAAACACAGAGGATGGAAGAACATGTTAAATGACACCTTGGGCATGCAGTCAGCAAATTCCAGGCTATGGGAAACTCCAACAGATGAATGGCCTGCTTTCTTTAAAAGTAAACTGCATGCAGCTCTATTTACAATAGCCCAGAGATGGAAACAATCTAAGTGTCCATCATCAGATGAATGGATAAAGAAGATGTGGCACATATATACAATGGAATATTACTCAGCCAGAAAAAAACAACTAAATTGAGCTATTTGTAATGAGGTGGATAGACCGAGAGTCTGTCATACAGAGTGAAGTAAGTCAGAAAGAGAAAGACAAATAACATATGCTAACACATATATATGGAATTTAAGAAAAAAAAATGTCATGAAGAACCTAGGGGTAAGGCAGGAATAAAGACACAGACCTACTAGAGAAGGGTCTTGAGGATATGGGGAGCGGGAAGGGTAAGCTGTGACAAAGCGAGAGAGAGGCATGGACATATATACACTACCAAACGTAAGGTAGATAGCTAGTGGGAAGCAGCCGCATAGCACAGGGAGATCAGCTCGGTGCTTTGTGACCCCAAATGTAAGGTAGATAGCTAGTGGGAAGCAGCTGCATAGCACAGGGAGATCAACTTGGTGCTTTGTGACGGCCTGGAGGGGTGGCACAGGGAGGGTGGGAGGGAGGGAGACGAAAGAGGGAAGAGATATGGGAACATATGTATATGTATATGTATAACTGATTCACTTTGTTATAAAGCAGAAACTAACACACCATTGTAAAGCAATTATACTCTAATAAAGATGTAAAAAATAAAAAAGTAAACTGCAAAGGAAAAAAAAAGAGAGCAAGATGGTGGGGGAACCATGACTATGTAAGAGAGATCTAAGAAACATATCACCATGCAATGTATAGATCTAATATAGATCCTGATTAGAAAAAATTATAAAGCAATTAGAAAAATTTCAAACTAGACTAGACACTTGATGATATTGTGAATTAGTTAATTTTCAAGCGCGGTAATGATGCTGTGGTTGTTTAAAATAGAGTCCTTGTGTTGGAGAGGTACGTATCAAAATACTTGAGGATGAAATGACAGGATGTCTGGGATTTGCTTCAAAATAATCTGAGGAGGTAGGGGAAATGGGTAGGACTCTTGGATGACACAAGACTGGTCATGAGCTGAATAATGTTGAAGCTGGGTGACAGGTACACAGCAGTGCATTTTGCTATCCTATTTTTGTATTTTTGAAAATTTCCGGGACTTTCCTGGAGGTCCAGTAGTTAAGACTCCGCGTTTCCACTGCAGGGGGCGTGGGTTTGATCCCTGGTTGGGGAACTAATATCCCACAAGCAGCCAGGCGCAGCCAAAAAAAAAAAAAAAAAAAAATTCCATACAAAAACCTTTAAAAACTTTTTGAATGACTTGTCAACATTTAAAAGTCAGGCCAATTTCACATAAAAATGCAGATTTCCACCTTCTCTCAAGAAGTAAGGTGACTTGACAACCCTGGACTTGATGCCTGCGGGGCAACAGTCAGCAAGAGCAGAGCAGGTCATGTCCTCCTGTTTCTCAGAGCCCCCATCCTGGCCCGGTTCACACATTTACATCACTGTCTGCTACCTGCAGGCACTGGAGTTTGGGGGCCCAGGTGCTGGGGAGAGTGGGACGGAGGAGAAGGAGAAAAGGGCTCACGAGGGAGGGACAAGGGAAGAGAGAAGTCCCTGAGGATATTAAACATCTTTGATTGTCACTCTTGTGGCTGAGCACATGGAGATTTTGAAAACAGTTAGCATAGCAATAAGAAAACACTGACCAGGTGCAAGGCTGCCAAGGGCCTAAGCAGACCCTGTTCACGTGCGTGGGCGCTTACAACAGAACACAAGCAGACAGGGGCCCATTTCCCTCGAAGAGTCCTTTCAAGAACAGTTGCATTTCTTTAAAGAAAAGCCAAGCCTGGGGGCAGCCCCTGGCCCCTTGTTTGACACTCACCTGAGCAGCTCTATCAGCCGCTCCTCCAGGTACTTCTTGGTTCTATTCAGGTCATCCAGGTCAGCAAGCATCTTCTGGTCATTCTTTTCCCTGTCTGTCGCCTCCTGGCAGAGTCTGTTGTAATACTCCTGGATCTTTGTCGTGGCTTTTTCAAGTTCCTTCTGGGTCCTGGTAGAGGAGTAGTAAGTTTTCCTTATTACCCACTACTTCCAGCTTTCCCCGTGCCTCTGGGATAACCCAGGCCTCTAATGGGGGGTCCTGCTGCCCTACCAGTCTTTCCCCTTCATGGGGGGAGCCCCTTGGCACTGCCCCACTCACAGGCTGTACACTCTCTTAAGCCTTCAAAACTTCCCTCACACACCCAAACTCTTCACACACCACTACCCCTCACGACAAATACAAGGGACATTTGGGAGAGGAGGTTGAGCTCAGGTCACTAGGAGCACCCCACGTGCGTCAAACTCTGCACCACTTGGTTCTTGGGCAGAGACTGAGGTTTTGAGAGGAGCCCAACGGGTTAAGTACATGGGCTGGTGATGGCGGTACACACAAGAGGAAAAAGGAGCCAGGAGAGAAAGAACAGAGGCGTAGCTTCCTGGAGATGACCACACAGAGAAGCGCCTATCTTCCATGTGTCTTTGGGACTCTACACATGGGGCTTGGCATGGGGCACACAGCAGGTACTCAATCTACACTGCGAGGCGTTCAACCTGACAACCCTGAGGCCTAAGGAATCCTGTTCTGGGTGCTTCGGAGCCTCAAGCTACAGCAGGGGGGCCGGCTGAACCACTGTCTTCCCGCCCTTGCCCACTTCTCTTTCAGCTCACCTGTCCCCTAAGGCAGTGGTTTTCCAAGGATGCCTTATAAAGCAAGGCATTCATAACAGCTCCATTAAAACAGAGAGCTGTGCAAGACTAATTAATCTGTATCTAATCCAGCCTTTCCATATCCAGTATAAAGTTGTCAGGAGGCTGTTGTTTACTAGACACTGTCCTCCAAAATGATCTCGGGTACACACACACACACACACACACACACACACACACACACAACCACAGAGTTATAGCATTAAAAAAAATGCCAACAACTTCGGAGGTTCCACTTAAATTGTCACATGAACACCACCTGGCTAAGGGAAGCCAGAGTCCTATAGGATTCAAACTCTGTAAGGAGTCAGCTGAGAAGAGTCAGATGAGAAGAAATGTACATTGAGGTTACTAAACATCCAGTGTGGTCTGGATCTCCCATTGAGCCTGAGCCCAGGCCTAGAAGCAGATGGTAGGAGATGGGTGGAAAAGTTAAAGCCTCGGGAGAATTTGGTGTGTCTGTTTTTGCTGGGAGCACACATGCAGTCAGGTCCCAGCATCCCTTGTTGTAATACTCCTGGATCATCTGTATTACTGTATTACCTGTATTACTCCTGTAATACTCCAGTTTTGCCCCATCACCAGACAGTGGGCTGATGATGCTCACACCTCCGGGTGGCCCCCAAGCCTGAAGATGAAGAGGTCTCGGGGTTGGACACAGGTAGGGCCATACTTTAAGGCTAAAAAAAAATTATGATGGAGCTTCCCTGGTAGCGCAGTGGTTGAGAGTCCGTCCGCCTGCCGATGCAGGGGACACGGGTTCGTGCCCCGGTCCGGGAAGATCCCACATGCCGCAGAGCGGCTGGGCCCGTGAGCCATGGCCGCTAAGCCTGCGCGTCCGGAGCCTGTGCTCCGCGGTGGGAGAGGCCACAACAGTGAGAGGCCCGCGTACCGCAAAAACAAACAACCAACCAAAAAAAACCCATTATGATGAAAGGGTGACAGTATGATGTGCTCTCCACAGACACAGCACCAGAGAGTCTCCAGGAAGACAAGCCTATCTTGATCCCTGGCTCGCTCACTCACTCTCAGATGAGCTTGCGAGAACCTCACACCTAACCCCGCAGCCTCTCATTTCAGAGAGGAAATGAAGAACTCAAGTCAAAACACAAAGGGGGGAAAACATGCACACACAATACTCTCACACCAGTACCCGAAAATAAAACAAAACAAAATACAAAACTATCTGTCTATATATATTTTTAGGGTAGCTGTTGAGACAAAGACTCTGGAGCCAAATGTTCTGAGTTCCAATCCTGCCATCACCACTTACACACTGTGTGACCCTGAGCAAGTGACTTCACTCCTCTGAGCCTTGTTTCCCTCATCTATGAAATGGGATAAATAATAATACCATCCTCACAGGACCATTGGGAGGATTAAATGGGCAAATAAATACCAAGTATTTAAAACGGTACCTGCCACATTTTAGGCATTACTTAAATGTTTGCTGTTAGTAGTACCACGATTATCTCCCAGCTTTTATTTCACTTTAGTTTTACCAAAGCATGAAGTTACTGAACTGAAATATGCCCTGCTAGAGATAAGACAATGGAATTAAGAGAAAGGGTCTCTGCAGCCTTCTATAGGCTTGTGACAGGCAGACTGCCAAGGTTCTCTGTGGCATGCTTCTGACATAAGTACTTTATGAGTCTGTGGCTTTTCTTGCAAAAGGGCTTCTTTAACCTGATATGAGTGGCTGACTTTCTAAATGACTGTACCAAACACCCACTCCCTTGAGGACTCTCCCACTGGCCGCGTGGGTGGACCGTGTAACTAACCTGTCCAAGTCTTGGCGCAGGGTGGCCCCCTCCTCATCCTTTCTCAGCATGGCGGCCTGGCACTCGGCAAGGTGCTTGCTGGTGCAGCTCAGCTTCTCTGCCGCATCGGCCTGGGCAGCCTGGCACAGGACAGCACGGAGAAGACACTCAGTTGCAGAAGCCCATGCAAGATGCCATCAAGTGACTGGCATGCTCCCCACCCCATCTGGCTGGCGCACTTCTAACAGGAGGGGCTTTTGTCTGTTTTTAAGTTCAAGAGACCATGAACTAGTATGTGTGTGGAGTATGACAGACTCCCATTTGTAAATATGTCCCTCAAGCAACAGCTGCAACCGGTTGTGGTGGCTAGTGGGGCAGCAGGTATCAGAATCCCCGGGGTGGGGGTAGAGGTGGGGTGGCAGGGTACAGGACTCACTGAAAAAAGTCACTGCCCTGAAGACGGGTTTCAGTCCCACCCCTGCTCTGGCTCACGTCAGAAACACTGACTTGGAGAACATCTGCAGAGGGGGATAACTTATTTCCTTTCCATAAGACACAGGGGTGGTGAAAAACACACTTGACAGCTCTAGCCAGGTGTCCAGGGAGTGGAAGAGCCATGACATAGACTCAGGTTGTCTACAAAGGTGAGCTGATGGCAGCTTTAGCCAGGGCACTGGAACTCCTGCAGGGAGGTCTCTCTGATGGTCCAATGAAAGCCAAGCCACATCCCCTTCCTCGACAGGCCCACACCCTGGGAGTGGAATGACCAGGTGAACAATGGGCCGGCCGCTGCTCAGGGCTCACAGGAGCACCTCCCCTGGGCCTCAGGGGCCAGGCTTACCTTCAGCTTCCCCACAGCCTCCTCGGCGGCCTGTAGCTGCCGACCTTGCTCCTCCAACTGGCCCCTGAGGCTCCTGCATTCTTCACTGGAGGTCTGGAGAGGATGAGAAAGGGATCAGAAAAGTGGGGTCCTTGTTCTGAGACTCCCTTGGCCCCACTCCTCCAAAATGGGTAAAAACAAGCTACCTCTCTCTTTTTCTCCCAAACTCAATAAACTTTGGGCTTCCCTGGTAACACAATCCCGTCAAGCCAAGAGACTTAAGCTTGGCCCCCAAACTTAGAATTTCATTTCTGCCAAGGAAAGGGTGGAGTATGAGCCACAGGGAACTGCAAGGGGTGGGGTGACACAAGGTGGGAGGCACATCTGTGGGAACGCGATAGTTGCCTAAGAGAGAGGTCAGGAGGGGTCTGAGTGCACAGACCCAGAAGCAAACAGATACATCAGAAGCCAAAGCCCCGCAGATGTGTCCGCCTGTGTCCTCACTCTCAACTCTTCTTTGCAGTTCAAGACACATGGTAAACGCTGTTCTCATAAGCTTGCCTATCCCAAGGGCTCTGTGGAAGTGAACTGAGTTGGTTTCCTACAACTGCTCTGCTATCAGGAGGCACCTGAAGGGACAGAGAATCCAGGGACAGGACTCGAGGCAGTCAGGAACTCACATGCTAAAAGGGGCTGGACAAGTACATAAACGAGTGCAAGGAAAATAGCAGAGGATGCACGCTTCCTTAAGGTGGGCAGTCCCCACCCAGCTCCTGCTGACTGCTGCCACGTAGGAATGAGAGCACAGGCTTTAGGAACTCCCAAGATTTCAAAAGAAGCCCCCAGACTGAATCTATAAACACCCTGCTCTTGAAATGTTGGCTACTAAGTTAAAAAAATTCTGTGTGGGCCAAACTTGTCTGTAATGGCCTTAAATTTAGGCGTCTGAGTTAAGGCGTCCCTCTCCAACGCTGGGTCCCTAACATGTCCCTGCAGGGAGAAGGATGCTGTGAGCTATGACACCAGGATGAGACCATGTTGGCCTGGGCCCCCAGGACATTCTTGGGCCCTCATGTGCCACCTGGCCGAAGGTGCATCCCAACCACTCATGGACCCACCAGGCCCTGCCGCAGGAGACAGGTGCAGCTCAGACGGTCAAGGTGAGGGTTACCTTAAGTTTGCTCTGGTAGTCCATGATCTCGGTGCTCAGCTGGAACTTGAGGGTGTCGAGCTCCTGGCGTGCAGTCTCCTGGATGCTCTGGGCCTGCTGCTCGGCCTGGGCCAGCTGGGCCTGCAGGCCAGGCAGTGAGCCAGCTGCCTCCTCAGCTGCCTTCAGCTTCCCCTGCAAGCTCTCCTTCTCTCGCTGCAGCCCTGCCACTTGGTGTTCCAGGCCCTCCCGCTCCTTGGAGGCTGCCTCTTTGGCATCCTGCAGCTCCTGCATGGCGCGGGCCAGCGCCCCCTCCAGCGGCTCTTTCTCCGCGGTCAGCGCGCAGACCTGGATGCCGAGCTCGGCCATATCCGTGTTGGCCCGGTGCGGCTGCTCCTGCAGCTCAGCAGGTTCTAGCTGCGCCTCCTTGGAGCTGCCTGTTGCCTGGGACCGCTCCTCCCACACTACTTGGAGCTCCTCCCTCCGCTGGGCCTCTCCGGCCCTCTCCTCCTGCAGCGCCCCTTCATGCTCCGAGCACTGCAGCAGCTCCTGGACGTGGGCCCGGGTGAGGGCTTTGTTCTGCTCCTTCAGTTGCTGCACGAGGGCCTTGTGCTCCCTCAGAGCGGCCTCGGCCACGCTCAGCTGGCTCTGCACCTTCTCCCGGTCACCCAGGGCTGCCTGCAGCTTGGCCTGGAGGTCCAGCACCCCAGCCTGCAGTCTCTGGGCCCCCCCCGGATGGCTCTCCAGCTGCGCCTGAGACAAGGCCAGCTGGGCTGCTAGCTCCTGGGACGCGTGGTCTTGTGGTGGGCTGAACTCCTGTCGGCTTTTGTCTGCCATGAGGGTCTCGATCAGCTGGGTCTGCTGGCGGCACCGGTCCTCAAGCGCCCTGACTTCCTCGGCCCGGGCCTCCGCTAGCTGCCGCCACTGCTCCACCTGCTCCCGCAGCTGTTGGCACTCGGCCTCCTTGCTTTGCAGGGCAGCCTCCTTCTCAGCCACATGGGCCCTCATGGTCTCCTTGGCCTGCTTCACAGCCAGGAGGCTTGCCTCCATCTGGTCTCCCATGTGCCGGATGCTGGCCTGCTCTGACTGCAGGGAGGCCAGGGAGCCCTGGATGGCCGCCTCCCGCTGCTGCAGCGCTTGATAGTCAGCCTGCAGGGCCTGAAGCTTATCCTCCAACAGCTGGTTGCGCTCCAGCACGTTCTGCAGCTCCTTCTCCAGCTCCCTGCTGGCCTGCTGGAGCGTCTTCTCCTGGCCGGCCCCTTGCATCTTGCGATCATCCACCTGTCCCGCCCACAGGCCCCTCTGCTCCTCCTCCAGCTTCTCACAGGCCTGCTGCCGGGTGGGGCTCAGAGCCCCGTGCTCCGCAGCTGCCACGGGCAGATCTGACCGCGCAGCAAGTCGCTCCAGCGTGCCCACCCTCTGGCTGAGGTGGTCTTTGTCCTGGATGAGCTGCTTCTTCTGCTCCTCCAGGTCACTCACGTGCTGGCTCACCTGGGCCAGCTGGGTCTCCAGGAGCTGCAGCTGTCGCGTCAGGGACCTGGCCTCCTGCTCCAGCAGCCCCTTCTCCTCCTGCCGCCGCTGCTCCTCCCGCCTCCCCTCCGCGAGCTCTTCCTCCAGGGAGCTCAAGTGGGCCAACGACTCGTGTAGCTGACGCTGGAGCTGGGCTGCCTCCTGCCCCTTCCTGGACAACTCTTCCCGGAGTGGGGCCATCTCCTCCACCAGGCGCTCCAGGCTGGCCCGGGCCTCCTCCTTCAGCTGCAGCTCTTTGGCCAGCTGCTCCAGCTGGGTGCTCTGCTGCCTGTTGAGCTCCTGGACCCAGGTGCTCTCCCTTTCCAGGAGCTTCTCCCCCAGCTCCTGAGTCTCCAGGGGCGAGTCACTGGGGACGCGCTTTTGTCGCCCCTTTGTGTCCAGTGCCATGTCAGCCTTCTGCTCGGCTGCGCCCAGCTGGTCTGGGACATCAGCTGAGCGCTGGTCCTTCCTGCTCAGGGAGTCATGTGTGGCCTCGAGCTCCCGAGCCAGGGGCTGTAGTAGGGACTCCAGCCGCCGCAGGGCTGAGCGGTAATCCTCCTCCTTCTCCAAGGCCCCCAGCTCCAGGGCCTGCAGGCACATCTGCAGCTCCTTCACAGTGTTCTGTGTGGCCTGGGTGACCTTCCACTGCTCCTGGAGCGCGGCCACCACACCGGCGAGGCGAAGGTTGTCCTCGGCGGCGGCGCGGCCCCTCTCTCTCTCTGCCTGCAGCTGCTCTCCGTGCAGGCTGACGGCCGCCCTCAGCTCCTGGTTCTCTCTTTCCCGCTGCTGCATCTGCTCCTTCAGCTGCTTCTCCCGCACCTCCAACTGGTCCAGCTCCAGCCGCAACTCATCAAAGCCCTCCAGTGCCTCGTGGTTTAAGGGGTTGCTCAGGTCAAGGTGGGAGGTCATCTCCTGAGTCTGGGGAGGAAACACGAAAAACAAGTAGCTTGGGGATGAAGCTACATGGCCGCTTGGCAAAACATTAGAAGTTAATGAGAACAGAAGTAAAAATACAGCAATTACATGACCTAAAGTTAGTCTATCGAGCTATTCAAAGGACTGGAACCCCTTTGCTCAAAGCATATGCCAGAGGAGGTCAGTAGCACATCCTAAAATATGATGCAACGCCACATATGTGAGCTCCACTGAGACTCAGAACTTGCGTTTCCCATTCAGCCTCCTGTAGCTTTGGTAACATGCTGGCTCTTAGAGAAATGATGTTATATGTAAACTACTGCTTACCCATTGCACCCTACCCACAATTCCTGTTGCAATTAAATCGAAAAATAGGGTAAAAATGCTACTCTTAATGCTTCTTATACTGATTAGTCTTATTTTGCTTTGCTGATTAATTTCAGTGTCCTTTCCCATTAAACTATACAATACATTCACATTTCTAACAAAATTAATGAAGCTGACCTGACGCACTAACGTTTACTGAGCACTAGCCTGTGCCAAGTCCTTAAGCACTGTGCGTGTGTGCCCTCATTTACTCCCTACAACCACCTTACAGGCTGGTATGAGATTTTACAGATGAGAGAGCTCAAGTTTCGACAGGGTAAGTCACCTTCCCAGGGTCACACAGGGGGCGAGTGACAGTCAGGATTTGACCTTGCCATTTTTAATCACAGTGCCAAACCACTTCTTCTGAAACACTTTAAAAAGCTTTTAAAAGAATTTATTTTTCAAAAGGCCTAAATTCCTTTTGGTTGTAAAAACCTGGACTCGAGGAAAGAGTGGGTAGGACTGAGGGGTTCTATCGCCCGGGCTGGATCACCAGGCATCTGAGAACATCCCCCTGAGCTGGGAGGGGCAAGAACATGCCCTGGTTGACACGACAGAGAGGGAGTCCCCAGCCTTCTCGGCATTACCTGCAGGTAGCTGCTCACCAAACTGCTCATGCTGGAGCTTCGGCTGGGGGGTCTCCATAGGTAAGCAGAAGAGCCAGTGCCCAGGGTCCTCCTGCGGGGCCGCAAAACAGACATGCTTGCATCAGAGCAGGGAACACACACACAGACACACACACACACACACACACACACAAACACACACACACACACACACTCGGGGAGGCCTTGGTTGTCACTAGGCAACCAGGTGGTGGTAGCGGCAGTGCCCTCCCAAGTTCAGTAAGAAGGCAAAATCCAACAATTTCCCCCAAAGCACACATTCAGGTTGGTCGTAGCAGCTGGACCCCGCTGTTGAAGTCTAAGCATGATGGCTTTGCTCTCACTGCCAAAAAGGAACGAAGTGAACATAGTATTTCCCAGTTTTTAGTTTAAGTTTTCCTAGAACCTTCGATGCCAGCCATAACTTGTCTACCAGGGAGGAACCAACAACAGTCAATCTGGTAAATAAAGGTCACACTGTGCTTCGGGCCTTGAGGTCACTGCTTTACGTTATGTTACACGAGTAATGTGGCTGGAAGACCTCTTCTGGTTCACACCGGACATTTCCCTCACTGCAGAAAGTTCTATTTGATGGCACTAGTCATTGCAAACGAAACACACTTTTACTTAATGACCAGAATCTTCTCCTTAATCTACAATTATTGCATTTTAAACCTTGTTAGTCTCCACAACTCAACAACTGCACTTCTCAGTATCTACCTAAAAGACAGTCACATATGTGCATAAGGTGACGTGTGGGGATGCTCTTGGCAGCACAGTCATGGTGGAAAAAGCAGAACCTTTCTAACTCCACATCACTAGAGAAACAAGATAAACTGTTTACTCACACAATGGAATACTCTATGCCACAGGTTGGCAATCTTTTTTGTAAAGGGCCAGATAGTGAATATTTTCGGTTTGCAAGCCTTACAGGCTCTGTCGCAATTCAACTCTGCCACTGTAGCATGAAAGCAGCCATAGACAATAGGTAAATGAAGGTGTGTTACACACGGCCCTGTGGGCCGTGGTTTGCCAGCCCTACTCCACATCTATAGAACTCCCTGTACAAACACAGATAAAAAACTCAAAAACAATATGGAATGAAAAAAGCAACCTGCAAAAGTATAGGCATCTCATGATTCAATCAATGTAGCAAATTTAAAAAATATATATAAAATACAACTATACATACATAATATTTACAGGCACATGTAGTGAAACACAAAAATATTTGGGGATGACATGCATCAACTACAGGGTTGTAATTACTTCTAGAAAGGGAGAAAAGGAGAAAGGATGGCCACGGGGTGGGGCTTTATTTGGATCTATAATATTTTATTTCTTAAAAAAAAAAGTATCAGACATAACAAAAAAATCCCACAAGAACCAGCTTGAAGGGACTTTGGCCAAATATAAGGCATCTTAAGGTTTAAAACAATTACAGTGACAGAATATAACCTATTGAATAAAATAAGAATCCACGAGTCAACACTGCTATAAGTGAATAAATAGATGGGGAAGAGGGAAAAGATCTTCCTTACAATAGAATGCCAACTATTAGTATAGAAGGAATGATGGAGTCAGAAAGTCAGTCTGGTAATCATGATAGTAACTGATTCAGGAAAGATTTACCAGATGCTAAAACTAAAAGGAGGGAGATTTAAAAGAAACAGGATAAAAACCTAGTCTTGGGCTTCCCTGGTGGCGCAGTGGTTGAGAGTCCGCCTGCCGATGCAGGGGACACGGGTTCGTGCCCCGGTCCGGGAAGACCCCACATGCCGCGGAGCGGCTGCGCCCGTGAGCCATGGCCGCTGAGCCTGCGCGTCCAGAGCCTGTGCTCCGCAACGGGAGAGGCCGCAACAGTGAGAGGCCCGCGTAACGCAAAAAAACAAAAAACAAAAACCTAGTCTCAAAATGTCTTCCCCCCCGCCACACACAAAAAAAGTCTTCCCGTAAGATACATATTAATTACAAACAGAGAAACAGCAACTTTAGGAGAAACCTGGCTAACACCACCTTAACCAAATGATCATGGTTAACCTTGCAAGTAATGAAACAAACCAACATCCTGTGTCTCCGGGTACAACGTGCTGAGGACATAACACCTCGGGTATTTCTGCCAAAAATGCTTAATCTGAATCCAATAATGAGAAAACACTAGACAAACTCAAATTAAGGAACATTTTACAAAATAACTGGCCTGGGGCTTCCCTGGTGGCACAGTGGTTGAGAATCTGCCTGCTAATGCAGGGGACACAGGTTCGAGCCCTGGTCTGGGAAGATCCCACATGCCGTGGAGCAACTAGGCCCGTGAGCCACAACTACTGAGCCTGCGCGTCTGGAGCCTGTGCTCCGCAGCAAGAGAGGCCGCGATAGTGAGAGGCCCGCGCACTGCGATGAAGAGTGGCCCCCGCTTGCCACAACTAGAGAAAGCCCTCGCACAGAAACAAAGACCCAACACAGCCCAAAAATAAAAAATTAATAAAAAAAATAAATAAATAAATAACTGGCCTGTACTTTTCAAAAATGTCTGTGCAAAGAGGAGAAACTGTTCCAAATGAACAAGGACTAGAGAGACCCAACAATTCACTGACATGTGATCCTGGATTATAAAAGACATGTCTGGCTTAATTCTTAAAATCTGAACACAGTCTGTAGATTAGACAGCAGTATTGTATCAATGTTCTGTGATTTTAACAATTGTACTGAGGTTATATAGATGTCCCCAACTTTAGGAAAGAATGTCCCTGATTTTAGGAAATACACGATGAAGTACTTAGGAGTAAAGGGGAATCAGGTCTGTAACTTATTCTCAAGTGATGCAGGAAATAAACCAACATGTTTACATAAAGATAAAGAACGATAAGAAATTCCCTGGCGGTCCAGTGGTTAAGACTTCACGCTTCCACTGCAGGAGGCGCAGGTTCAATCCCTGGTCGGGGAACTAAGATCCCACATGCCATGTGGCATGGCCAGAAAAAAAAAAAGAGAGAGAGAGAGAGAGAAAGAATGATTAAAACGTTTGTAGTAAAATACTGATAACTGGGGAATCAAAGTGAATGAGTACTGTGTACTATTTTTACAACTTTTCTGTAAGTCTGAAATGATTTTAAAATTGAACAGTTCTAAAAATGACATGAAGTAAATATGGCAAAAATGTTAGCTCTTAAATCCTGGTGGTTGGCAAATGGGTTCCATTATAGTCAGTATTTTTTCCTCCATAGAAAGAATTCCCTAATGAGAAATACAAAAATTGGAAAAAAAACGAAACAAAACACCACCTTATTAACAGAAAGCAAAACAAAACAAAGAATGCTGGACTTGAGTTTAACTCAAGTCTAGTACCCTGGCCCTGGCCCTGCTGCCTGCCAGCTGTGTGACTTTGGGCAAGTCCCTCCACTCTCTGAGCCTGTTTCCTCAGCACCTTGCTCCTGGAACAGTTGTGAGGATGCAGTTAGACAATGTGTGAGTGCCGTACTGGTGTAGGAAAAGAAAACACAGCAAAGCAGCCTTTCCAGCAACCCTTACATGGACGAGCCTTCGCTCCCTCTCTTACTGGCCTCCACGATAACTGTTATCTATGAGAACACATTGGAGAAAAGCCCACTTGCTCCCCCCTCGCTCCCACACCAAGTCCTTTAACACATCTGAAAACCTTGGGTTTCACATATGCGTCTCCACTGACTCATGCCACCTGGCCAGTTAGGTTAGTTCAAGGTTGGAGCCTCCAGATGCTATCACTAGTCACGACTCAACCAAGTCTGTAAAATTAGCAAGCATAAGAGTTGCAAAGCTACAGGTAATTTACTGCATGAGCAAAACTGCTTTGAGTAGACTGGTGACAAGCTTCAAAACTTCAAACATCTCTTTCCCCTCTTTTCAACCAAGCAATTAATTCTTCAAGGCACCTGGCAAACGTCGGCCAGGCAGCATCCAGGTCATAGCCCCTCGATGCCAGGTCAAACTGGATGTCGGTCAGCTCGTAGAGTTGGCCCACGATGTCAGAGCTCAGCTTTGGCTTCAGAAAGGGGCTCCTTGCGTAGTACCAGTCACTGCAGGGAAACACAAAAAGGGGTCAAGTAAAGGAGTAGATAAAGGGAAGAAATCAGTCCTCCCAGTAAGGCTCTGCCTCATCAAATTCCAACTCAGATTACTAAATTAATTAAAGACAGACACATCCACACACACCCCAATTTGATTTTCACTGTAGGAGCACATAACTCTCAAATAAGTTTGCTCTTCAGGGAAATTACTGAAATGAATTATATGCTTATTTGTTTATTATTTATATCATACTATTTCCAAGTGAATGAGAGAAACCTTAAATCTGAATTACTGTCCAAGAAAAGGCAGTTGGTAGGGAAAAAAACACTTTTTTTTTTTTTTTTTTTTTTGGG